CTCCATAGGAAATGAATGGAGAGCGAGCGACGTCGCCTCCCGTGTGTCGAGCCCTTTAGAAGCTAAGAAAATGAATGTTTTTCTACAGAGCTACATCTGTCAATTAATCACCACTTACAACAGAAAAGTTAACTTAAAGTGTACTTATAATAAAATAAATAACCAAATAATCAGTAAGTTGAGGTAGTTTCTTACTTAAACATAACTGTTGACAATATTTTATAATAAAAGGTCTTCTAGTTTTTAAAGAGCAATTTAAATCAGCCAGAACTGGTTGAAATTATTTCTGATTTTGGACAATGTTTGAAAATTGAGTGGCTATTTAAACATATGCTATTCTTTAAAAAAAAGTTTATTGGTTCTATAAACTGGAGTCAGAATGACTCAATTACAAATTTCAAAATAACTTTCTATTTGTCTAAACATCCATCATGACAGAGTTTTATGTTGGACTAAGAACACCAGCGGGTTTACGATGCAGCGGACGTGAAACTGAAACAGACTGAACTGCAGAAAGGAGGCAGATGAAACCCAGCAGAAGTGCTGTCTGTCTGTGTGCAGGAATTAATAACCCACTCGCACTGATTGGATGTGGGTTGTGTAATCATCCTCGAGGCTAAGAGGATTAGACTAATGTCGCTGCATGTCAAAACATTTCCAAACAGGCGAGTTTATACCTTTAGCTATGTCGCTGCTTTAGCTTCATTGTTTGTAGAGTTAAAACGTTAAACCCAGCCAGTGTCAGGACTTTGTGTAAACCGTGTTTCACGTGGAGGACAGAGCGTCTGCCACCTCCACCGAGGTTCTGATTTAACCAGGAGTCTGTCTGAATCCGGATGAGTACTCGCTCAAATCCGGAGCTTGGCTGAGAAACTAATCTCTACAGTTTCATCYCCTCTCACCCTAACACAGTTAACACATTTATCTTTCCCATCAGCTGAGACTCCTGACAGCTAAAAAGTCCTGAAATGAGTGAAGGTCATGACGAGCATCAAGTTTGAAGGAATAAACAAAATAACTAAAATGAAGCAGAATAATAAGAACAACTGAAGTTGTCACTGCACGTTGTCATTCTGAGCTTTATCAGGAGATCAGTGTGCAAGTTTGTCTGTTAGCAAAATATCTCATGAACCGCTGGGCAGACTCCAATGAAATTCAGTTATTACATGATCCACATCTACAAATGATTAACTTTAGAAGTAAAACCTAATTCTGAGGTTTGTCACAGCTAAAGAAAAATCAAATATGCTTTATGCAGATAGTAAGCTAAAATTTGGTGTGGTAGTAGCTGAAACTAATCCATAACACATACTAAGAGTTCTAATTGATTGCACTTTTTTAAAATTTGGCAGCAAAATGCAGGGAATTCAAAACGACCTTTAAAACGAATCAACTTTAGCAAACACAAAAATGGCTACAGCTCTGTCAGTTTTACAGATACTGAGCTAAYATTTGGTGTTGTGGTAGCTGAGAGTCGTTCCCAACACATACTCTGAGCTCTAACAGATCACACAAGTCATTTGTTTAAATCTTTGGTATCAAGGCAGCAGATGGCATGTTTCCTTCAAAAAACACGTTTTATTTTTTATGTTCAAACTACCGTTACACTTTCTATTCAGGAGGTAAGAGGCTAAGATGGCTAATTTTGATCAGCAATATGTGCTAGTTACTATAAAATAAATAAATAAAAATAACCTATATGAAGAAGTGCCATGACAAGCAGTGAAAAACGGGGAGAGGGTCCTCTTTGTACTTCTGAACATTTCTTTAAAGATAAATTTAAGAGTTTTGTACCTTTTTAAAAGTGTCTGTGGTCTTGAGGTCCTCCACCCATGGGTCTCATCTACACATGAAGAACAAAATAAAATGTAAACAAAAAGCAAATTAACAAACTAAAGATTCTCAACAGCATGATGGTATCATAAATGAACAGACACACAATCTGCTCAGCTGTTTGTCCAATAATCAAAGTCTAAATCCATCTGAGACACACATAAGCAGAATATGCCACTTAAGTGATAAAATAACACATAATGAGGCTATAGAACCCACAATTTAACTTTAATAACAGGCTTGTTTACTTGTTTTGCTAGCATGTTGTGAATTCGAGCGGCGCCTTTCAAGACAGGGAGCTTTTTTCGACACAACACCGGGGCTAACTTTCAACACACGACCGTCAAACGGAGCGATACGGAAAAACAGACACCTACCGCCCGAAATGAGCCGAACAAACTCGACCTACTCGTCCATCCGAACACCCTTGTGTCGGTGAAAGTTGTCCCGAAGACGCCCAGTTTCTGCCGACGCGTCGTTAACCTACTTTCGTCGCGGATCTGCAGGCCTCTTTGACCAGAGAGAGAAGCGACTCCTCACGCTGCGTTCCCCCAGCGTGTGACGTAGCTGCGTGCGCGTTCCCGCAGGCATGCACGAGCTGTGGAGCAGGGAAGAGAGAGAGAGAGAGAGAGAGAGAGAGAGAGAGAGAGAGAGAAATTAAAAAAGTGAAGTTTTCTTCTGTTGTTTTCATATTTCTCTTTCTTTCGTTCATGTCTTCCGTAGATTTTCGACATCAATCTTCTCCCGTAGTTTTAAACAATTTCAGCAAATTAATGTTTTAAAACATTCAGGACATTCCTGCTTTGACCTTTGCTATTTCAGACATTTTTATTTCTCATTCAAAATAAATGGAGCTGTCTTCTGTTTAGAAATCTTCATTGCACTTCATCACCTGTTGTTCTGGTTCTGATTTTTTCCCCCATGTTTTAAATGTTTCTCTGCTTCAACACACCTGATTTGAATAAATAAGTGACTAACAGGCTTCTGCAGAACTCGGAGAGATCCAGGATTGGACATCCCTGRACATTTTGTGCACTAAATGTATCACATTTGGTCAAGAACAACACTCAACTGGTGGACCCAGCTGTTTTTCCTCTCACATACCAAAAGAAGAGGTCAAATATGGCTTAAAAATTTCACGCTTCATCAAATTTGGGTCAGCTGTCCCAAACCCGTTAACTCCCTCAGTCATTTTTCTTCCTTCTACCAAAACAATGTTAGAAACACACTGCTGTCACCAAGTAATTCCTTTCAAAATGTAATCAATTATTTTTTTGTTTCCTGGTCTATTTCTGCCAAACTGAAGATAAACAACTGAGGCTTGGCTCAGGGGGATCTCCCTTCCTCCTCCTCCTCCTCCTCCTCCTCCTCCTCCTCTCTGCCATTGCCCATATATGTCCAGATCAGCTCAGGAAGTGGCCGTTTGACCAGATCTGTGTTATTGTTGCAGGAGACATCAACTCTTTGGCACCAACTGGGAGTTCTGAAGTCAAAGCATGGCCCCGSTCCATATACCTTATCAGATACAGTTGGGCCCAGGCGACCAGGAAACCACAGAACGATGGGAAGCCCCTTCATGTGAGCCTTATTGATGGTCCTCGATTCGACTGAAGCTCCGCATTTGATCACAAACAGGGTCAGTCGGTCGCTGATGGGCACTGACAGATGGCTTTAAGATGCAGGAAGTCACAAGAGAGCGTTGCCCAGTTTTGCCAACGGGACAGACTCAATGGCTTCCGGCCATTGGTGAACCCGTTTAGTAATGGTCTCACTTTTCCTCAACCGACTCCCTCCCGTCTCCCCCCCACACACACATCATCCGTTGTTCTCACAATGCCTGGAAGTAGCAGAGACCTACATCTCCCACTCTGTTTTCTTAATCGTTGTTTTCCTTTATGGTTTTTCCTCTTCTTCTTTTTTTTAACTTCTATTTCACAAAGAACACAATTGGTCCGACACCCATCCAAACACATAAAAGAACAAGGACGCTCACATGAACTTCACATCTCATGCAAACATTTTTCTTTCAATTTTCATTTTCAAAGGATTTGTACAAAGAGAAAGCTTAGCTGTGTTTAAATTAGCAGCTCTGTAGACAATTCTACATTACTTTACATCCTGTTTATGAGTATTAAAATGCAAAAACTGGTCTCTATGATACCAAAAATGTACAAGCTAGTATTTTCTGCTGATTCAGACCCAAAGCACAGCATCTGAAACAGAGAAACATTCCTTGAAGGAATGTAAACTTAGCACAAAAAGTAAGCACATTTGGTAGATTATTTCTTTGTTGTAACAATGCTTCTTGGCAATAAATCTTATATTGCAGAAAATTTTGTTAATTTCCCTTTTGAATGGTGCCACATTTGTAAGGAACATGCATTTGTGGGGTGAGCAGTATGTGCACATGAAAAATTTGCCAAATCATCTCTGCCAAACAGCTTATTTTGCTCTATTGACTTGTTTTGAGCTTCTGGTACCTCCAGGTGCCCGCTATAAGATTTATTGCGAAGAAGCATTGTTACAACAAAGAAATAATCTACCAAACATTAATTTACTTACTTTTTGTGCCAAGTTTATATTCCTCACCACCGTGTGCACCAAAGTTTTAGATAACTCTTGTTCAAAAATACAAATGTTTGGTCCAAACATTAAAATAACAGGACGGCTCAGTGTTTAGCACTGATGATTCACAGCAAGAAGGTCCTGGGTTTGATCCCTGGTTTGGACCTGGGGTCTTTCTGTATGGAGTTTACATGTTCTCGTGCTTGCGTGGGTTTCCTCCTACAGATCTAAAACATGCACGTCAGGCTGCCGGCCTTTCTGGCAAAAGAGATCTGTGATCTCAATGGTATTTGTCTGGTTAAATAAAAAACATGTTGTGTAATCTGGTAGAGCTCGGAGTTCATGTTGTGAATGACTGTCAACTGCTACCACACTGAATTTTAGATCAATATCTATAAAATGTGTAGGGTGGCTGGGCTCAGCCTTACTGAAAGGGTGAGCAGCTCGGAGTAGAGTCGCTGCTCCTCCTCATTGAAAGGACTCAGTTGAGGTGGTTCTTCTGATTAGGACACCTCCCTTTAGAGGTGTTCCAGTCATGTCCCACTGGTTAGAGGCCCCAGGGAAGACCCAGGACTGGAGGGATTATCCCCTCTAGCCTGGGAACACCTCGGGGTCCCCCAGGACGAGCTGTAAAGTCTTGTTGGGGAGAGGGAAGTCTGGGTTTCCCTCCCGGACCTGTGGCCTCAGGGACCTGACCATGGATAATCGTCAGGTTGGATCTGTAAAATTAGCAGTGGGTGATAATCCCTTAAGGGGTGGAGCCAGACGGCTGGGTGGGGGGCACTCGCCAGGTCTAGCCCTGTCACTGAATACCTGCTCTATTTTAGTCAAAAGGCCACCCCTGCAGGTTTTATCTGATTTTTCTTCTTCTTTGAAAAAAGCTCCTCCTGTTTGAAACTCTGTTCAAAGGAAATACTTTAGTTCAAAGTTCAGTGTTGCTGCTCAACAAACTGTGAAGTCACGACTTCACCGACGATGAGCCAACTTTCTGCTTGTTTTTCAGCTGACCTTTGCACCTTTTCCCCCCTCTCTCTTTTACTACCTGTCCCCCCACCACCACCTCTGTTTCTTCTCCTCTCTCTCCTGCTTTGCTTGATATTTTGACGGATGTCCTGCGTTTTCATCCATGTCTCTGTGCAGCTTCACAGGATGTATTCATAACTCTGTGTGTGAGTGTGGAAGTTCCTGCACATCTGTCGGCTGCATTTCTCTCACTCGGGGTGGGGTAGCGGTTGTTTTTCCGCACTAAAAGAAGGTGTCTCCCATCTAGAAAGATCTAGTTTGTTTTGCTTCCTTCCTCTCGGTCCTCATAACATTTCGCCTCTGCTCTCAGGCAGCAAGCCAGAGGCTTCCGGGCAGAGTGTGGTCCACTTATTACCTCCGCAAAGGAGATAATGCTGGGATGGCAACAATTACTCAAATCTATGTATGAGTCTTCATGGAAATTTCACCACAGTCAGGATACAATCCTTTGAAACTGTTTTAAACAACCTTTAATTTCCATTTTTGCTTCCCTGCAATATTTAAAAGTGGTCCTGATCAATAACTCTTCAAGCTTCTTAAAGGTATTTTAGAGTTTTGCTTTGGACTTTGATTTTTCCCCTAATCCAGTTCTTCCTATAGAGCATGGCTGCACACTGAGCAGAATTCTGACAGTTTAAGAAGGAGAAAAAAATCCAGTAAAAACTTGACAAATGAAAGACGATAATCCCCTGTTTGACCAGTTTTTCAGTTAGCATTTTGTCCAGATAACATTTTGGAATCACCTAGCTAAAATGCTATATGTGTCAAACTGAAAATAGATTTGGTATTTCATTTATGAATAACTAAAAAAAGGAAACAAATAGAAAACAGTTGAGTGACGTCATATTGTGGCATCTCAAAAAGGCCACATGTAGCTGGTAACAGCTCTCCTTGAATGCCTGCAGCTGATACCTCGTACACATTTTATCCAGAATTTCAAAGATCCAAACCATCTCACAAGAACAGATTGGCCTTCAATAACTTGTCACAATCATTATTTCTGTAAAAAAGTACACTTTTTGTTGGGTCTAAGACTTTGTTTTCAAATCCCTCACTTGATCAGAAGTGGGCAGCTCTTTGTTAAGCAAAATGTTTTCAGGTCGTTTAGCTACGAAAGTGTCAAAAGTTGGTAAAACTGGTTCAATTCCTTTGTTAAGGATTAATTATTTTCCAGGAGAACTGTTTATAAGACTATTTTAAAAGTCTGCACAAAACTCTGGCTCATTAGATATGAAAATAATACCATTTGCACTGTTGCGTGACTCAACTTTTAGCTTTTATACCAGAAATAATTGGTAATCAAGCGTTTTATATCTCGGCCTTTAGTGACTCTTTCTTCATCATCTGACATTTGGCATCAAATGGTGCATTCGCCTCGCTTGACTTTTTTTTTTTTAATTACTTGTTCCGATAACCTCTCAATAATTGGAGAATAGCTTGTTTATTAAACAATGAGCTGGTGTTCCAGCTTCCGTTTTGGTGGTTTCCTTTGTCCTGGAGAGGGGCTGAAGGGTATAGGAAGGCGTTGGTGGGGGATGTTCTCCTGGTTCACCCCTGGACAGACAGGCACGTACCGCATCTCCCCAAGGGCTTCAAGTACATATTTGTTCAACGTGGCACAAAAACACACCAAGCTTTCCTGCCATTACTTCTCTTAGAGCCATGGGGGTTTAGAAAAACTGAGAGACCACTAAAAATACTTGGAGCCCGGGTCGCGGCTTTTCCTGCTTTGCTTCCACCGTGCGCGTGGGGCCATTGAGGAAAGAGGAAACAAGCCGCTTTGGTTGTAAGGGAGTTTCCTGCAGGACATTATAAAGAGCTCCCCGCCGTTAATCTGCTCTCACAGAGTTACTCTGAACCAGAGGAGACCGGCCTCGCCTCTGACTGCTGACCCAACGCCGAGCCAAGGGTTTGACGGCGTAGCGGTGAACCGTAGTTCTCGTCCCTGCTGGTCGGGGTGAGTCCTGAACTGATTTTTCTTTGCTTTTCCTGGTTGTTTGCTTCCATTGGCTTGTTTGGTTTAGACCTTACTTCACTAATTTACCTGTTATATGGGGAAAATAGCATAATTTGCTAATTTATCAGCTACTTAAGCACATATTTAAAGGTCTCTCAAGTAAATTTTTATGTTAAAACTAAAATAGAAGAAATAATAATTTTTTTCTTCATGCAGGTACGAGTAGGGAGCTGGTCTCACCTAAATGTGTCTGGGACACACCAGTATATTTATTTTTATATACAGGTAGGTCTCAAACTGAATTCAAGCACTCACTCCTCATTTCATTTCATTTCTAAATAATATATCTTAAACCTTTGTTGACAGACCCAGGCGAGCCTGATGGAAGTGTCTGGAGTCCACAGGACCAAGCGGGGGCCGGCAATGCGGCCCGAGGGCTACGTGAAGGAGTTCACCCGCCACTCCAACGACGTGCTTCAGAACCTGAACGAACTCCGGCACCGAGGCATCCTGACCGACACCACCCTGGTGGTGGGCAGCGTGCAGCTGCAGGCGCACTGTGCCGTGCTCGTGGCCTGCAGGTCAGAGCGCAACACCTCCAAAACCCACGAGAAAGTCTCTGAGATTTCTCAAGTTCTTGAGGTTTGCAATGATTTTTTTTAAATGTCATTTTTCTTTTTATTTTTCAGTGGCTTCTTCTACTCCCTGTATTCCCGCCGGGTGTTACTTCAGGGCAACGGGGAGCAGCTATCCACCATCTCTCTCCCCAACACGTTGGATCCGTCCTGCGTCTCCCTGCTGCTCGACTTCATGTACACCTCCCGCCTCCCTCTGACCCCCAGCATCGTCTCCGGAGTGCTGGCCGTGGCTGCCTACCTGCAGATGGACCACGTGGCCGACACATGCCGGGACTTCATGCAGCTGCACTGGTGAGGGCACCGAAAACCTGTTGTCTCACAAGACCTCCTGAAACCATTTATATTAAAGTTGATCCTTCTTCTTCAGCACGAGTGCCAGATATCCCCAGTTAGAGCTGGACTCCAGGGTATCTGTAGCCTCTGTCGCCCCAAAAGGAGGGGACCTGCCTGATCTGAGACCCCGGGGATCAGTCCCAGCAGCAGGAGAAACAAGGTCAGTAAAAAGATTTTAAAAAGATTGCATCACCCTAAAGTGAAATCAATTCTTTTTGTTTACACATCAGCACAAAAGCTTGTGTTCAGTCCATTACAGCACTTCCTCTGTTTTTCCTGCAGGTTCCCCATTGTCCTCGAGAACTCCCTCAAGCCAGGGGGTTTCCCGACCCGCTGGCCCAGGTCAGGAGAGCTGAAAGAAGATCCGCTCCCGAGCAGCCCAACCTCGTCCCCGAGCAGCCCCGACCGCTCCAGCTGCCACCCGAACTCTCCCGCTGAGTCCAACACCTGCAGCAAAAACCTGGTGGTGCGTCTCAACAACGCCGCGCCCAGCTTGAAATTAGAAAGAAAACTAAAGTCATCCCATAAACTGATTGTTTGTTCCAGAGTGAAACCAAAGCAACACCTGACCCAAAGGCATGCAACTGGAAGAAGTACAAGTATATAGTTCTGAATCCCCTCTGCGCCGCTGCTACAGTCAAGGTAGAGGAGGAGGAGCTTCAGGAGGACAACAGGATGAATTTGACCCCGAAAGCTCCGAGAGAGGCGTGGTCTGGAGAAGTGCCCGGTCAGATTGATAGGTACACCCAAATATTAAGAATAATGACACGCCATCAGAATAAAAATAGAAAGTTTTATTAAATGTTCATCATCTCCTCAGACAGGGGCAGGCCTCCTGTTACGAGGGTTCTGGCCGAGCCCCTCCCCTCGGGCCACCTCCCTCTGTGGACCATCCAACGATGCCTCCCTCTTACAGCGAAGGAACYGGTAAGACATAAACACAAAGCTGATTTAGAAACTATCCAATCAAACAGAGTTGAACACTAATGTTTTTTTTCTAGTTTCACCTGGCAACATTTTCCCCAAACTGTCCGAAGAAACGGCCCATCTTAACTTACCTCCGATCAAACGTGAGAGCCCCTATACGCCCTATTGTTTTTCTGCCACTCTCCAAGCTACCAAATCTGTGTGCTCAGGTGAGGCGAAGCAGGTTTCCTCCACGTGCACTCTGTTTTTAGTCTTCGCAGCAAATTATGTCACGACGGTGAACTTTGTGCCGACAGGAGACAAGCCGTATCGCTGCAACGTGTGCGGAGCCCAGTTCAACCGACCGGCCAACCTGAAAACTCACACCAGGATTCATTCAGGAGAGAAACCGTACCGCTGCGACACCTGTGGGGCAAGATTTGTCCAGGTGAGGGCACAAGTTAAAGTTAGTCATATTGGGTATCGTGTTGGGGAGTTTCAAAGTGGGGTTTTCTTGTTGCCAAATTACAAAAAGCTCAAATTTTACTCAAGTATACACTCTCAAGACATAATTCTCACAGGTGGCCGTGTTTCAACAACACTGGCAAGCATTCAGACACCAAGCAGACCCTTTGGGGATCTCGTCTGACCAAAACCAGATAATCCCAACTTTCATTTGCGACTTCTAGTTTTCACAGTTTTGAAGTCTCCCCTTGGAAATGGTCAAATTTTCAAGGCTAGAAAATCCTGCGACATCCCACAACATCATGTGATTGCCAGTAAAAAGACTAAATTTATATTTTAGTAAACCCCCCATGGAGAAACGATCTCTCTGCAGGGCAGAGAGTGGCAAATTCTGGTTTTCCACCCACCTTTTTGTTGTTAAACTGGTTTGTTGTTTGTATTAAAGTGCCTGTGATGAGCATATCCTTTACATACAAAAAGTCAAAGAAAACATCTTTATATTTAAGAAACTTGGCATAATACACAATTTTACCCATTTTATTGCATTACTGGCAGATTTTCTTTTGAACTTGTCTCAGCCAAGATGAAACAGGAAGTGACCTCAAAGGGAAATTCTTTAAGATGTTAAACTCTGGTTTTTGTTTTTTGAAACAATATTATTTGAACTGATYGTGACTCAAAATAATCTAAAGAAACATCAGATTCTTCTCTACAGTCTGTTAGTTATTGTAGCAACGCTCTGTTCACATGCAGTCATTCCCCTTTGACATCACTTCCTGTTACTTCACATGCAAATATCCAAACAACTGTTCATCTCAGAGGCATGAAACCTTTTTTTCAGTATGTTATCAATGTTATCTTTCAAAATAGGTATTCATGTTTATTACAAAAGTGTGATGTCACAGGCACTTTAAATCCTAAAAGTGGACAGTTTAATGTAAAGTGTTTTGTTTGTCTGCTGCACCTCTCAAATCCTCTCGTGTCTGTCCCGATATCAGGTGGCCCACCTCAGGGCCCACGTCTTGATTCACACCGGTGAGAAGCCCTACCCCTGTCACACCTGCGGCACCCGCTTCCGCCACCTGCAGACCCTGAAGAGCCACCTGCGCATCCACACAGGCGAGAAGCCGTACTCTGTAAGTCGCAGAAACAAAATCCCCACAAACGCCAAGAAAACCAAACGGTTCCAGCTCTGTCTCATCTGATGAATGCTTGTTTTTTCTTTACCCCCAGTGCGAAAAGTGCGACCTTCACTTCCGACACAAGAGCCAGCTGCGTCTTCACCTGCGCCAGAAGCACGGCGCCGTCACCAACACCAAGATCCGCTACAAAGTGCTGACTGAGCCCTTCCAGCCTCTTCTGCAGGCCTGCTGAGGAGGACATCAAATTTACTTTATCTCAACAGCGTTTAGGCTACTCACAATAACACCTGGGCGTCAGACAAAAGAGATTAAACTGTAATGTTTAGAGAAAAAGAGAGATTTTTAGCATATAGTTGGATGAGGTTTGGATTGAGCCAAACTAGTACTTTAGAGGAAACCAGGTGGGTTTTCTGAGAAAGAGATGTTGAAAGTGGGATGAAACAAGTTGTTTTGAAGGTTTGTGAGGATTAAAGAGGGGAGCAGAGCACGGAGTGTGACTTTTTACAGGAAGAACGAGCGTATGAGCAATAAAAGGAGGGATAGAGGAAAGTTTGTAACATTTGTAAGGATTAAACCTGTAACTCTAGCAGAGCACTTCATTGGTTTTTCCTCAAAAATGTGTATTTAACTCAGATTTGTCATTAATCTTATGGCCTGGGGCCGCTGTGATTTTTTTTTAAAAAAAAGAATGTATCTATGCAGTAAAACCTGATTTATAGATTTATAAACTGAATATGTTGATGAAAGCATTTAAATAAGACAAATGAAAGCAATTGAATTGTTATTGATAATATTAAGTTCATTTGCGGGACAAATTTAAATTAAATCCTTTTTATATCAGCTGGTGTTTGTTGTTGTTGTTGTTTTCTTGCTGGAATTGTTTTGTACCTGTAACTACAGCAGACCGATGAAATGTATTTTCAAACGTCCTTCCTTTCACTCGTTCTGCTCGTGAATCACCTCATGAATCAGTTTTCAGGTCTTGTTTTGTGTTTTTCTCCTCGGTGTGGAAACAATGAACCTGAGGGCACCTGTTTCCTCCCAGGTCCTTGTGCTCCACGCTCACACTGCCAGTCAACACGTGCAGCAGCTTCCTGAAGGTGTTGGTGTGGGGGCCACAGGCTTCTGCTGAACTCTCCCACCCTCTGTCCACCCACCACCGTTTCCTGCTCCCCCAGGAGAGTTTTTTCGGACTCATTGTCTGGGCTCAGTCCACAAACGCTGGAAGTTTGATGGGACTTTCCGAGCTCCGGCAGCTCTCCCTCCACCCGTCCTGTAGAGAAAAAGATAAATAAAACTTATGATTTAAAGGGTTTTTTCCCCACCATCCATCTAATTATTATTAAAATAATGTTTCTCCCCTTAAATCAAGTCATAAAAAACTCAAATAATCAAAAATCTATACTGGTTCACAAATATTTCCTTCAACGCTGGTTTTGCTTTCATTTATTTACACAGATTTCTGTACTCACCTGCAAATGCAAGTAGCGGCACTGGCAGCTAGCTGTAGCACTTCTGGCATGAATATATTTCTGATAGAATATTTGTGTAGTCCAAAAACTACAAATAAAAGAAAAAATTTTTCAAACAGCATCTATGACCTGCTAAAATCTTGACCTTGATTGTTTGAAAAATGGTGTCGCTCCACTTGTTCCATTAATTTTATTTAAACAAATTGAGGCCAAAAATGTTTATGAAGTAAAAACAATCCACTTCATGAAACATTTAATGTAATCATGAAAGTTTGAAATATCTATTTTATATTTTTAAAGTAAGTCACTTTAAAGGTTGATGTTAGAAGTTTGTAAATGTCTCCCTCTAGTGGCAGAGGTCTGAACTACAAGCTATTTTTATATTGATAATGTTGTTTATTATATTATTTATTATGTCGTTTGTTACGTTTTATCTGACCACAACAGCACATTGTTCAGTGTGTGCTTAAAAAATGTACTTGTGGATGAACTGAATATTGTTTTATGTGTCAAACACATTAGCTTTGTATTTTTCACAGATTCAACTAAATACTTTAGAACAACGGTGTTTTTGTGTCTGAAAAAAAAGGTCTTGGAAACCTTTTACAGATTTTTTTCCCCCCTAAAGAAATAGAAAAAAAGCTTAGAAACAGCCTTTGTAAATGTCTCCCTCTAGTGGTAGACCTCCGAACTACAAGTTATTTTTATAGTCTATTGTTTATTATAATAGTTATTATACTTTTTATTGTATTGTTCATTAAATTGTTTATTATATTATTTATTATATTATATCGTTTAGCCCTTTTATCTGACCATAACAGTCCTTTGTGCAGTGTGTGCTTAAAACATGTTCTTGTGGAGGAACTGAATACTGTCCGCAGATTCAACTAAATAAATTAGAACAACAATGTTTTTGTGTCTAAAACAAAAGACCTGTGAAACCTTTTACAGATTTGTCTAAAGAAACGAAAAGCTAAGAAACAGCCTTTTGTTATTGTGATGTTTGTTTCTAAATCAGATTCATTTCACTGCTATCTACTGTAAATATAGCCAATTTTATTTTATCTTTGGACTTTTGCCTCTTTCTCTGTGCTCTGTGCTCTATCACTGATGTCACAGTGTCTGTCTAGAACATCACTTCATAGTTGACTGAATTATTCCAGTGAATTCATTTTCAGAAAAAAAAAACCCTACACAAATGAGTTGGGAGGGGGGCATTGGCCCCTCTGGTTCTTCCTTGGTGGCACCAGTGAGTGATTGGCGATTTGTAATTTTACCAAGTCTTATTCATTTATTTATTTTTTTGGTAATTTTTACTTTAATTTTGCTACATTCAAAACCTGAAAATTATACTTTTATTTCATTCTTTAAATTTTAACGCATTTAACTCGTTACAACTTTAAATATGACCGGAACTCATCAAGAAAGGAGTTGTTTCTGCACTCTTTAGAAATGAAGTGTTGAATCTACTTAATGTCCAATAGCTACTTAAATTTACTCCACTCAGTTTAGGAACCAGTTTGGTTAAATACATTCAACACGTCATTTTTTGTGTGTAAAAGTATCTAATTCTTGTGAGCAGTTTTATGACTCTTGTTTAAATACTTTTCTTATCAGAGAAATTAATTCTTACAAAAGTAATTCTCTATTGAGGTATTTTAACTTTTAACCAGGCACGTTGTTAGACCTGGGCTCCGGGGCTTTAGCCCCAGATGTTTTGTCATTAGGCCCGGATCAAAATGAGACCTGCTTTCACTGCCTGCCTCTCCTCCAGCAGCTGGACGGTTCGATTGCGTCACCATCAGCTGTTTGTGCTATTTGTTTCACCAGCATCTCACAGCAGCAGGAGTGAATGTACCGTAATAACTTATGTTGGCTGTAAAGAGCAGCTTGCAGACACCCTCAGATTTTTTCTGGTGGCACAAACTGTCGCAAAGTTACGGTATTTCAAATCCGAAGCTTGTTAAAACTGTCTCATATGCGGCTGACACGTAAAATGGATTCATGCTCTTCTGTTGAAGTTCAAGTAAATTTTTTCAGCCAAAATCATCATTTATTAGAAATGAAAGTCTGAGCAGAATATGAATGCTGGTGATGGATGGGGCTGCTTGTTTGTATGCAGGCGTGTGTGTGTGTGTGTGTGTGTGTGTGTGTGTTTTGTCCTTGTTTGAGTCAGTGAGCCTGCTGTGGTGCCATCTTTGAAGCTTAGACTCAATTTGTGTCTTTAAGATCGTGTACGTGTTTGTATGTAGGCATGTGTGTGTGTGTGTGTGTGTGTGTGTGTGTGTGTGTGTGTGTGTG